GGTACAGACAGAGACACAGAGAGAGAGAGAGAGAGAGAGAGAGAGAGAGAGAGAGAGAGAGAGAGAGAGAGCATGAATTGTAGCCGGTAACCGCAAGTCGTCCGAAGTGGCTACAAAACAAATAGCTGGTACTTGCAGCAATCGAGAACAGACCCGTGATCCCACCAGTCGAGCTGAAGGGTGTTGTGCATTGGCATTTAGATCGAAGGGCCATGTATACGGCCACACAACCGGCCGGCCTAAACCCTGCTAGCCCCAAGCCACCTAAAGCCCCAATAGGCCTTAGTCCCAAAGTTGTTCTCCATGTGCTCCTACACACATGAAACCCCGAATCCTACACCAAACCACGCCGAACGCTCTTGCCCAAACCAATGACCCTGAAGTCGAGCCGGAGCCCAGGTGAACGTAGAGGCTGGACAGCGGGACCTGTACAACCAGCTCGTCAGGGAAGACGCCAGCCTGAGTGCCAGCTTGGCTTGAGTTTGCGCTTGGGGCTTTTTTGCTTCGAGCGTTTCTTAGCCTAGCGTTGTTCCAGCCCAAAAACACGCGCGCAAATCCCCACAAAAAGCGCGCAAATCGGCGCAAAAAGGCGCAAACGAGCGCAAATAAAATTTCAGTGACGATCGCACATTTCAGATCGAGCGTTTTCTGCATCCTCGAGGAGATGTCGCTCGCACTGTGCAGGTTTGGATCAAGCTTGCCCGACCTGTGGGATGTATACACGTGTCTCTTCCTGTGCTACACTTGTAGAAGGCACAGGCATGGTTTCCTCTGCCGTTCCCATTTCTCCAGCAGCTCCAAATGTGGAGCCTTCGGAACTCAGTGCTCGGATTCAGGTCCCTAGATCGCATGAGTTGTTGTGCACTGCCTGCTTCAGCTAGTGTGTTTCTTGACCGTTTAGCGGTGTGGGGTGAGGCTGCAAAGGAACGGATTGCTCGGTTGCAAGCACAACTGACTTCCAAGACCTCTGTACCGCCCCCGTCCTTACCAGGACTTCTTCAGGAGTGTGCCGTGTGTCTGTGTGTGTGTGTGCCAAGTTCGGTGCTTGCATGTGGCAGGAGCACCGGCCATCGCAAGCGAAGGCGGTGCCTTTGCTGCTGGAAACGTGGTTGGCCCGGCCCATCATGCTCCACCGGTTCGTGTGGACTCGTTCCATGTGCCTCCTCGCGGTGTTTCCTTCGACAGCGCTTGGAGGATGGACGCAACAAGTCCCACCACAACCGAAACCTCAAATGCCTCAACTCCTGAGCCCCCAAAGCAGGCTGAAGCACGAGCCAAGATCACTCCAACAAGAGCCCCCCCGAAAGTGACCACAAAGGCTCCAGTCCCAAAGCCTGAAGTTCCTGAAAAAACCAAGCCCACCACGTCTGAAAGCCAAGACAAGCAGACACAGCTGAACACACCCAGTACAGTGCCCAGCCCATCCGCAAAGCCAGACGCCAGCCCAGGCGGGGACTCGCATCCCTCCACCCCGCCCCCCAGTGTGTCGCCACACCGTGTGTCTTCCCCCGGCTCAGGAACCTCCCCAAAAGGTTTTGAGCCCCTGAAGCCAGTGCCGAATCAGAAGTTTGACAAGGTGTACCACCAGAGCCTTGGTTTCTTTTATGTAGCTTCCCTTCTTCAATCCTGGCTATTATATCCTAGTCTGCCCCAAAACTCAGCCCTGATAGTCTATATATACGTGTCGACAGCTAGGAAGCCCTTCAGAGAACCCGGCGAGAGATCTTTGCCCCACATAGGCATTTTTATAGGGATGCCCTAAACCCTCAAGCCTAAACCCTATAGATGACCCCGGAGCCCTCAACCGTAAATCTGCCAAGCAAAGGCACTGTGATATCCGAGGTTGAACAGATACAGCAAGGGGGTCATGAAATGCTCCGACCTTTCCATGAAGATGTACAAGACAAAAGAAGGACGCTGCAAGGTTGCATCCAAAGCCATACACATGCAAAATGCTACGCGGGAGCGGTCTGGATCCAGCTCAGGCCAGCAGCTCCGGGAGATGCTGGTCAAGCACGGAGGTTTCAAGGAGTTGGAACTTCAGTTGAAAAAATTCCACAAGAATACCGAGAAGGATGCCACCTCCGGTAAGTGGGTGACAAGACACTATCTCATGGAGGAGAAGAAATACACAAAGTCACCATGCCGAAGTAGCTTAAATTTGCATACCCCAAACCCTAAGCCCTAAACCCCTTAACCACTAAACCTCAAAATTCCACAAATTCCCATGCGAAAGCTGGGAACTGGGCCCGAGCCGAGGCAAATGGCTGACAGCCAGGGCCTGCTCAGAACCAACGAGGTGCATGGAATGGAGGAGGCACGGTTGGTTCTTGAGGAGTCGTTTATCAACGAGCGCGAAAGCGGTTCTGTGACTGAGCTTGCTGGTTCGCACACGGTCGAGGACGCCAATTGTTTTGCAGTCTCAACATGAAACAGTTGCCCTCCACAACTCTCAGCCACCTAGAGCTCACTGCAGGATGAGAACGACACCTTCTTGGCAGAAGAGCCGGCCTCTGATTCGCCGGCTCCTGCTGGGGAATCGGCTCGCCTTGCTGATGCTTTGGGGGGCAAGGGCAAGCAGTGATCAGACTTGTACTGGCTTGGCTTTAGATGTTTAGGTTATAATGCATTTGGGGATCTAGATTAGAGGAATAATCCTGGGCACAAGGTTCCCATGCCGTTTCTGTTTTGGGGCTTTTGCGGGCTTGGTTCACGGCTTTCGGATGTTGGCGGCTATAAGCTTAGGGTTTACGGTGTAGAAGGGTTTAGGTTTGGCTGGGGTCAAGACATTCTATATTAAGGCTTGGTTTCACAATGTTCTTTGTGCTCGCATCTAAGGACTGTGTTCCCGACGCTCCAGAAGAACGAGAGCCCCATCAGTATCTTGCCACAGTTCTTGCAGGTGCTCGGCAGGAAGATCGAAGTTGCTACTGAAGGGCAGGACTTGTGTTTCAGTGCCTGTAGGGCTTCCATTAGCTGCTATGTGTGCATACACAACTCGATCTAGGAGAAGCTTGGGAGTTCCTCGAATCCGCGGGCCCGGGAGTTCCTGGGCTTGAGTTGCTCACATCTAATCGAACAGCCCGAACCACTCAAAAGAAACCCGACGCCTTGCCCTAAGCCACAAAATCAAACTCAGGATTGGGAGCCCCGAACCACTCAAAAGAAACCCGACGCCTTGCCCTAAGCCACAAAATCAAACTCAGGATCGGGAGCCAGATCCTTCAATGCTTGAACCGGCTCAACGACAGCTTCACTCAGTTGACCGACAAGGAGGCCGAGGTGTTGGTGGACACCGAAGGCACGAGCCTACGCTAGATTACTCGATCGTGTGTGAGTATACATGCATGTCTGAGCATGAGGCCATGGAGCCCTTATGCCTTGTGTTGCAGCCCAGCCCAGGAACCTGGAAGCCCACAAGTCTTCCATCATGAGCCTCTTTGTCAAGTGCACCAAGGATGATGTGACTCTGAACAACTACGTTACTCGCAGCAAGTGTCCTGAACAAAACATAGCATCACGCTTGTGTGTGCATGCAGTACACGGTAAAACCTTCAACAGACCGAAGCCCCAGGCCAGGATTTCGCATATCTAAGGTCCCTGAAGCTCGATGATGCCAAGGCTTCGCCCGGATCGACCAGTGCCAAGCCCAAATCCAAGAAGGCAAAGAAGGACAAGAAACCGAAGAAGGGAGGCAGCCCACGCAAAGCCAAGACTGCCTCGCCATCCAAGCCGAAGCCCACGCTGGGCAAGAAGAATAAGTAGTTGGCCCTGCAGTGGCCGCTCATCTATGTGCGTGTTGTATGACAACATGCTTTTGCTAGCTGGAAACCGGCTGCAGTTGCAGTGTATAGGTTGGGACTCGAAACCTGGACCTCAACAGCCCGAAGTGGCATCATTGTGCATTACAGTAGAAGCCCAAAAGTTGGAAACCCAATAGCCTCAATCGTTAAGAGTAGTGCATAGGGAATCCCAGCACTATTTGTCCTTAATCCGGTTTCCAACTTTTTGTGGTTTACTATAGATCAGTGTTAGGGTTTAGGGTTTACGGGATTAGGGATTTAGGGTTTAGGGGTTTAGGGTTTAGGGGTTTAGGGTTTAGGGTTGTCAAGGTTCTTGCTATAGGGTTTAGGGTTTGGTTTTAGGATATATGATATATGTACCTGACCATTACCATCTCAAGCTTTGTGGGTCCAGGCAGTCTCAGTGTTAATTGGACGGGGATCACTGCTGCAGAGCGCATCGAAAGTGCATCGCTCGAGTGCTGCAATCTTTTACATTGCTGGTGTGAACATGTCCTAAACCTAAACTTCCCATCTTCCCATATGTGAACTCCCTCATGTGTCGAGTTTGCAGGTGGCTCCTCTCGCAACGACCCACAAGCAGACCCCTTCGATGTCTCAGGCCCGTAGACTTGTGCATGCTGTTGGGATGACGAGTTCCGTGGTGTAAGCCTAGGCACAAGGCTGGTTCAAGTGAACGAGCAGCAGCCAACGGTTCTGGTATGTTACACAATTTATGGGCTTCTGCTGAGGCACACCTAGTGATGCCGAAGCCTCCGACAGCGACAGCGACGACTTGGTGCAAGCGCTTATGGGTGATGTTGAGAGAGGGGTGCCCTGGATGCACGTGCTACATGTACTACATGGCAGTCCCAAATAACCTCAGGTAGATGCCAAAGGTGTGGTCCGCTTTGCTGCCGTTGCATCCCGAAGAATGAAGAAGCTAGGCAGGGTATTTTGGAAGCTCGTTCCAGGCATCATCCCAGGTGATTGCTAGAGGGCAGCGGGTTTAGGATTTTATACAGTTTTACATATAGCCTATTGGTTTGGCCATGTTGGCAATAGCTTAGACGACACCCAAGACCAAACCCTGTCACTTCCTCACCCGAAATCAGTTTAACAAACAACCTGTCTGTGCTCCCGTGCAGGTGTGGTCGATCCCGAGCTGGACGAGATAGCACGCCTGGGTACAGGAAAAGGCTACAGCAATTCCGCCCGAAACCTACATAACTTCCTGCATCGCAAAGGAAAAACGCTGCCTGTGATCATCTCTTGTGTGAAGCTGAATATCCGACGCCCCAAGAAAGGGGGTGGTGAATTTGTCACAGACTATCCCCTGATGTACTTGTCGAGTTGGATGAAGTGCATCTTGCAGAGTGGTGGTGAATTCCTGTTAGGTGGCTGGACTACTGACCAGCCAGACAACTACAAGCGGATGCTTTCCAGATTCTGGGAAAGGTATCAAGTGGTGAATGCAGACCATGCAATATATTCCGAGAAGTCCGTCGAGCAGCGGGCATTTACAATACCAGTTGCAGTGCATGGTGACGAAGGAAGGGGGCTGGCAAAACTGCCAGTGCTTGTCGAATCATATCAACCAATTTTGACGGGGTGTGGTGAAGACAAACTCAACCTGGTTGGGCGCCTTGTGGAAACAAGTTTGGGTGCATATAGGGCTAGGATTGGGTTTAGGTTTTAGGGTTTGGGTTGAGGGTCCAGGATCTGGATTGAATCGAGTAGGCTGTAGGGCGCAAGTTTCAACTACCAAGGGCCCCAACTCACCCCATGCCTTTAGGATGCCTCACGTAAATTCATTGGGGCTGCTAGCTTTAAGAGCCATATAATGCTATCTTACGAACTCCTTGAGCAGAGGCATACCTACACCACGCGCATGCTGGCTACAATCCTGCCATCAGCATGTTATGCCCAGAAAGACAAGTCGGTGGACGGCCTCCACAGGGCCATAGCCGATGATCTGATTGCCTCGTTTCGCGACGGAGTGACTGTTGAAGCCGGGAAAGGGGCCGCACAGTTTTGATGGGTCTTTGGTTCTTTGGTTTTACATGCACTTGACTGCAACGGGATAGGTTCTGTAGACTCAACAAAAATAGGCGTAGGACCAGGGGTTGTGACATAGTGCAGGTGAATGGAGAAAGATTGACTTTCTACTGTGCCGTGATCGGCGCCAAAGGTGACTGGCCGTACCTCCGCAAGCTGTACCACCTGAAAACAGGATTCACAAGTACCAGAAAATGCCACATGTGTCCTGGCTTTGTAACTTATCGAAAACTTAGCATGCCTTTAAACTAGACTTGGATGGGGGGTGCATTGTGTCCCATCAATGCTAATTAAGTGCTGTGATCAAGCTCCTAGGAATGGTGGAACGTCGGCCCAACCAGCCAGCTGCGAACATGGAAGAATCCAAGCCCGAATCCATTCAAGAGAAACCGTGCAGCTTTTCGTGATATTCCTGGCATGGACAAGCCCCACATGATACAACCAGATCTGATGCATGCCTACAATTTAGGATTCGGAAAAGATCTTGCAGCATCAGCTGTCATCATGATGTGTCGAGAAGGAGCATTTGGAGCGGGGTCCTTGCCAGACCAGCTCCACCGAGCATTTGCTGACTTCATGTCATGGTGCGAAAGCAACAAGCAAACGAGCTCAATGAAGGAGTTCGACTTCAGAAAAACCTTCAAAATGCAGACGTGCCTTGCCCAAACTTTAAACTCAAACCCGTCACCCGCAACATGAAATCCCGAACACTTCCAACCCGCATGGCCGAGGCAGCGACAGTATCCAACTGGTTGTGGGAAGGCCTATGATGTTGCCTTGGTGAGCAAATGGATACAGGCGGAGTTGGATGCGATGAGATCAGTCCCTCGCAACATATCTAACCATTAAGCTTGGTTCGGGCTCTATGGGTTAGGGTTTGGGAATTTTACATAGGCCTCTAGCGACCCGACTTGTGCTAGGCTTGCTTTAACTCTGTATAGTATACCCAAGCACCATTCCCAGATTTCCTTAAAAGCTTATATAAGCCTCCTGACACAGGCAGAGGCAGAGCTATCCGAGTCTTTGAAACTTTTGCATTGGACATTGAAATCGGGAAATCAGTGCTTCCATATCATCTACAACGCGGGGGCTTGGGTGCCAGCAGCTGAAGCAAGACTTGCTGTGCAGAACGGCTACAATCTACTTGACTGTTGACTGCAATAACAAGCTCCATCTGCTGGCAGGGTGTAAGCTGAACCGTTCATTTGATTATATTTCTGAGTTCTGAGGACGGCTATTGTGGGCTGGCTAGAGATTCTGCTGAGAAACAGCTTGCAATGTTCCGCATGAGACCAAAAGTTCATCTTTTTGGACATATAGTGCCGCTTGCCTTAGCTGTTTGGGTTTTGGGCGGGTACCGCTTGAGCGCAGGATGTCATTCGTGCACTGGTTTGGCAGGACCAGTATGGACAACCAACTCGCAAACCCGGGAACATGCTGGGTTCTTAACCCAGCTTGCTGCCAAGCTGCAATTTTGCATGTGTGTATATATTTTGGCCACCAATGCGTCATCCCCAGAACAAACCTAGGCTTCTCTGCCTGGGCAGATGAAGACTATATTGGCCGTATTTCACGTACATCCAGGAAAATCGGCAGTTCAAGACTGACGGCGCTCAGAACCATGACGAGAACTTTGGTGAGCTACCAGAGCATGTTCCGAAAACATTTCCGATCTTACATCTGAACTGAACAGAAGCTTGAAAGCTGGAAGCTCCTGCTTTCCCGAGCCCCGTGCCGGTGCCACAAAAGATCGATGTGCGCTTGATGAAGACGATGTAGCCAGCAGCAGTATGTATGTTTGCGCACGTGCCCGTGCCAGGAGATTATGGAGTGAGTTTTAGGAAGGTCGCTATTGCCATGGGCTTGTGTAACTAGAGCACCTCGAGCGCTTTTCAAAATAACGTGCGGAATTTCGAGAACGTACCTGAAAACAGGTCTTCGTAACACTTATTCTTAAAGCTATCCTGGGGCATAAATATATGTATCGTTTGAGGTCGCAGGTCTCTATGACGAGGTTCAGGAGGAAGCCCCTCTTCCCGAGGAGCCTGTCGATGACTTCGACGGGCCGGAGCTTATCCCTGATGCTGGGGAAGAGCTCAGTGAGGCGGCTGCTCTTGAGCAGGCAGCTGCCCGCGCTGCTGCTGCAGCGCTCACTACCGGAGCCACTGGGCTGGCTGCGGCTGGTGACAGCGCGCTAGC